GTAGTGCTGGGGTTTGCTTATTGTTTTCTCTTCTGGCAGCTTCTTTAAAACTTTGCAAATGATTCTACGTCCTATATAGAATTTAGCGGGTATCTATCAGAAGAGAATATCGAGACGTCTGGTACTTGGTGGAGATAACGATCTAATCAATAATATGGTTTATTTTGGCGGAGCTTCTTACTTGCTGTTCTCAAGAGTAGTCACACATCATGTATAAGGGGTTAGTGCGTATGGAATCTGTATCTGTTGTCATTTTTGAATGTATGGTCTACTTGTGATTCCTGCTGTGTCACTCTAGAGTGCTGTTCATTGCTATCAAAGCTAATATCTTGTGATGTGTATACATATACAGTGTGCAACCAGAATTGTCGCTGTATGAGCTATAGGCAAGCCCTGACTGTGTACTACGTTATGCTATATGTCCCATTAAGATAAGAATCGGGGGTCGTGTCTCTTTAGATCCGCACACAAACTGTGGTGCGCTTCTTCATCTGTATTTTAACCTAGCTAGGCCCCCTTGAAATTCTGACTTAGCAGATAAAGGTTTACTTCGATCTACTTAGTCTTTGTTGAAATTTCTTGCCCGTAGTTATTCTTTCTCGGTCCCTATTTCCCGCACACGAAAGACTTTCAAAATTAACTGTTGTTATTGTTGAATGTAATTTTACTTAACTGGTCAAACGTCTATATTCACGGTAATAAGTAAGCCAGGTTCAATGAAAGTGAGTTTATATTTGACCAAGACATTATTTATATGTTGATTCTAAATGTCTAAGCTTCACACAATCGGTAGAGTGCATCAGGGATGAATGAACACCATCGGGAGGGTACGCACCTGGTTCTCGACGTTCCCTCCTCTTCCACTCTACTCTGACAGAGAAAAGCCGTAGCTCCTGAGATGATTCTTGCAAAACCGATTTGCATGGATGTTCATCTCTACGACAAGTGGCTCAGAGAAGGGGCAAGATGTTGTGCTCTTAATAATCTGTAGATTCAGTATCACTATTGGATAAAGGCATTGACATTCTGAGAAGAATAAGACCTGTAGACTATGCAATTTATGTGTGTGTCCTCCTACATAGTATTGTGTCCCTACCACTATCATCACAGGACCCTACCTGTGAGCACGCTTGGTGGATATAAGGTGGAGCGTTAAGATACAGTCATGTCGACGGCCACATAGCTTATATTAGACCTGGTCGCTGTAACTCCAATATATGAGTGAGGTTTTTAATGATACTGTATAACCTCAGTCTTTCCTCTCATTTGGGGTTATGGCAGTAGTTTCAGCAGGGGCTTTGAGTGCCGAAACTCTCAGTTGCCTTTTGTTTTTTGGTAAGATTTACAAGAATAAGTCTCCGTGTTGCATAGATTTTCAACCATTTCACCATTCTCTTACAAATCGGTTTTTTGCCCTCCCCTTTGAACATATTATTGATAAAATTCACTCCGGCCGTCTCTTTCTAATTAATTAATGGGGCCAGATGAGATCGGTTCGTTCAATCTTAACTTTTTGCGGGATGCACTTTTTTCCTACTTGCGCCTCAACACTCACCATCTTAATCAGGCCTCGAGACGATGAGGTATATATGTCTAGAACATAAAGCAATCTCACAAGAAATCTTGAGTTGAGAACTCGTGAAAGATTTATACAACATCTCTTCTACTGTCCCTGTCGCCTTGAGATATTTGACAACAGTGATGAGTTTTCTCTTTAATTTAACAAAAAACAATTGCTATTGCGTACAAATCCCCTACGAAATGGGACTCGGCTCCTGTCTCCTGCAGCAGGGGGGAGATAAAATAACTCGTAAAAAAACTAAGGCCAAAAGAGTCCATTTTCAGCAAATTATGGAGGAAGGAGCTCTTCTATTTTTTGGGCTACACCCGCGAGAAAGAGATAACCTGGTGGGGCTCATTAATAGGTATCTTTGTTATGGCCTTCTAGTGCGCAGA